ATAATTTTTTTTACAAAATTGAAAAGATAAATAGATTTAATTAAATGGTAAAATTTTATTTTAACCCCTGAACTTCATATAAAATTCTAATTATGGATTTTTTTGTAAATCTAAAATAGTTTAAAGATAAATTTATAATTTAACATTCATAGATTTTTTTTATTCAACGACAGAATGAGGATATTTTTTAAAAAAAAAACTAAGGGTATTTTAATCCAAAATGCCAGGAATGTACAATACTTAAGGGAAATAGAATAATCACATTTCCGGTAATATACCTTCAAAATACCACTGTTGGAAATAACTTATTATCAGGGGTTGAGAATATTTGTCAACTAAACGAAAGAATAACATTATATTCTCAGGGTAATATGAGATACTCTGAACCAAACGCTCCCTTAATGTCAAATGGAGGTAAGCACACATCATTTGCGAGATGACGAAATTGGAAACAACTTCCTTTCTCTTTGAACAATTTCAATGACCATATACTATTGTAACTTTTCTGCTAACTTTCAAACTAAGTTTACATATTCATTAGAATTTTATATATAGAATTCTAACCCTTACCGTAATTAAAAAATTTAGTACTTCAATTCACTTAACTTCACTAAACTAACTAATTGTTGATTTTTTCTTTAATTTTTTAATATCTCTTAAAGTTATTATATATAACATTATTTATTAATATGATATATAGGATAAATAATAAGATAAAATGCATATGAACTATCGTATGCACTTTTATTTTTTTCTTTAAATAGTATGGGATGAATGACTTAATATAGGTATTTGTTCAAAAATTTCTTAATATATTAACAATTAGTGATGATAATTTTATTTGTATTTGACAGGTTCTGACCTGATACGACCATATCAGATCAAATTTTTTTAAAATATTCGGGTTCGAGTTGAATCAGATCGAATATTTTAAGGGGTGAAGTCGGGTCAGGTCAGGTTCATGTGGAGGGTAAAAAAACTCCGACCCAATCAAACCCAAGGATAATAATATAATTTTCTTTAAAAAATATTATTTTTAATTAAATCCTTAATTTATATCGGGTCGGGTCGGATATATGATATAGAATTTTCAGGCCAGGTTCAGGTGGAGGGTGCATATTTTTAAATTAGGTCGGATTGACCAAAAACCCGACATATTATCATCTCTATTGACAATACATACACAATATAAACGCAACTACTTAAAGCTAGTGTTTATCGATAAAATAAAATTTAATTTTATCATTGAAGTTATTTAATGAAACTCTTACTTGAAAATCATTAAAAATATATATATAATATTGTAGTTAAATTTAATTAAAAATAAAAGATAAATTAATTAATAACGTCAGCATACCTGACAAAGAACAGGGGAGCGTGGTGGGGTATATGAACAATGACAAAGCGATGGGCTGGAAAAAGAGGGAAAAGTTGCTGAATCTATGCATGCACAATGGAAATGACTGGACATGTTCGTATGGTCCGATACAATATATACCAAAAGGGACAAAAAGGCGATCAGAAAACGAAATTTGAATTAATTTTGTTGATTTTTGTAAATGGATGTATAATGTACGGATTCTGTGCCTGGTGATATATGGCTGCTAAGTAGTGGCTGAACCGGTGGCTTTTGGCCTTACTCAATGGGCATTAGCCATTTGCCTAACGAGGCTGTGTCGGCGGCACACCATAGTCAAAAGCTCTCCGATACAGGGGAGTGGTAGCCAATTTAATTGGCTAATCGGTTACCCAGAATAATGCCTAGGAAACTTAAAACGAGTTTCTATTAAAAGCTTTGATTTTGAATGAACTGGAGAGCTATCATAATTCAAGAAACTTTGGCAGGTTTATATTTTTTTCATGATTTAATCTTTGAACTATCTTCCTAATGTTACTTTAATATTTAATATTAGAATCATTATTCTGTCTTAATTTATTTAAAAAATGTAATTAATAAAAGGGTGATACACAAAATGATTTTATTCGATATTAATAAATTTTTGAGATCAAATACGATGATATGAGAAAATGGATTTAATTGAAATAAATTGAACATGAATTTCTTTTATCTCTGTATTATATATATATTTGGTTGAATACAGGATAATGGGTCTCTTAGGTGCCCATTTTATCAGCTAGAATAATCTCCTCGGCTTCCTTAGGGCAATTACTAAGAAATTTATTTTCCTCCTGTTGGCTCTTCATATGCTTGGCGATGAAATCAGCGGCGCAGTTGGCCTCCCTTGGTACGTTCTCTAACTCCACAACCCAGTTTCTTTTGAGTAGAATCTCAATATGTTAAAGGATTGTTAAATGTATGTGTTCGAAAGATTTGTTCTTTATCAGGTTCACTGCTTCCTTACTATCTGATTCCACGATAATTTTTCTTTCACCTTTCATCCACACCGTTTTTATTCCTTCTTGTATTCCCCATAATTCCGCTTCCAGTAATGTACATCTTCCAATTTTTTTGCCCACTCCCCATAACCAGTCACCATTGTAATCCCTAGTGACTGCTCCGCACATCGCATCCTCGTTGTTTTGATTTCTGGTTCCATCAGTATTGATTTTGCAGTATCCATTTCCTGGTTTTTTTCCATTTGTAATGAGTATTCCTTCCAGCTTGATGTATGATTGATTCTCTTTCAATCATTTCAGAATCAAACACATATTGATTTCTTCTTTTCCAGATATACCAGATAATGGAGCTGAAGAATGTAGGCTAATTCTCAGTTCTAGAAGTTGGAGACTGGGTGATTTCAAGATTCTCGATAATCCATTCCTCCATATTCTTTCTCAGGTACTGATCCATATTCTTGTTATCAATAAGTTCTGCCCAAATAATCAAAGCTTTAGGGCAAAATCTCAGAGTGTGATTGATGTCTTCAATTTCGTAACCACACATAGGGCATCTCTCATCCATTGTCATATGCCTGCGCTTCCTTTCTGAATTAGTCAGAATTTTATTCCTTCCAATAAGCCATAGGAATATCTTCACCTTGGGAATGTTATTATGTTTAGCAATGCTGATCCATAGTTTTTCTTCCATAACGTTGCTAATATTCACAATCCAATTGTATGCAGATTTTACCGAAAAAACCTTTTTTCCGAGAGGATCCAGCCCAGAGAATCAGTGATGGACTCATCCAATGGGGGTGGAGTAGCTTTAAACATATTGATGATTTGATCCGGGAATAACTTTGTAAGTTTGTTCCAATCCCACGTACCATTCTTGTTAATCCACTCTTTAACTTTTGATCTGTCATTTTGCACCTCCCTTGGTTGATTGCATAGTATGGATAAAGGTTCTTTACTGTCTAACCATTTGTCATGCCAAAATTCCACTTGTTTTCCATTTCCAATATTCCATCATAAGTTCTGTTGAAACTTCGGCCATATGGAGCAGATGTAATTCCATAATTGTGAGCCACCCCTTTTTTTAAGCTCTTCTGGTATGATTTCCTTCATGTTGTATTTACTTCTCATCACCTGCACCCACAGAAGACCAATTCTGTTAATGAGTTTGTACGCTAGTTTAAAAATAAAAGCCTCATTTTGACTTCTTAGACTCTTAAGTCCTTGTCCTCCTCCTTTGATATGTATGCAGAGTGTCTCCCAGTTCACGAGATGTACACCTTTATGCTCATTTGAATTTCCCCAAATGAAATTTTTGGTAAGTTTTTCCAGTTCATTACACACTCTTTTGGGGATTAATATTGATTGCATAGTGTAAGTAGGAATTGAGGAGATAACTGATTTGGCGAGCATTATTCTTCCTGCCAGGGATAGTGTTTTGGTTTTCCATCCTGTGAGTCTGTCCTTAACTTTTTGAATGATACTGTTGTAGGTGTGTTTATTGATCCGGTTATGTAACATAGGAACTCCCAGGTATCTTCTAGGATTATCCACCTCCTTGATGTTGAGCATGTTGGTAATAGAATTTCTGGTTTATGTATCAACATTATTGGAGTAATATATACTGGATTTTTGCAGGTTAACTTTCTATCCTGAGCTGTAACAGAATCTGTTGAGAGTATTCTGAATAACTTCAATTTGGGTTATGTCAGCTTCCGCAAAAAGAATAAGATCATCTGCAAAGAAAATGTGAGAAATGTTAGGACCATTTTTAGACAATTTAATAGGTTTCCAGCTTCTTTGATTTACAGCTAATTTAATTTCTTGTGCTAATCTCTCCATGCAGATCACAAATAGGTATGGAGACAAAGGGTCTCCTTGTCAAATCCCTCTAGAAGGCTTGAATGGTTCGGTAAGCTCTCCATTCCAGTTAATCCGAATAGTCATCGAGCTTATGCAATTCATAATAGCAATCATGATCTTATTAGGAAGATTCATCTTCTCCATAGTGTTTTTATGAAGTTCTAATCCAGTCTGTCATATGCTTTCTCAAGATCTATTTTTATGGCAATCCACCCTTTTCTTCCTTTCTTCTTCTTCACTGAATGAATGACTTCTTGAGCAAGAATAATATTATCTGTAATCACCCTGCCCGGAACGAAGCTCGTTTGGCTGTTAGAGATAATAATAGGCAGAATAGGTTTAAGACGATTGACAATAACTTTGGTAATAATCTTGTAAATGACATGACAAAGACTAATGGGTCTGAACTGAGTAATTCTTTCGGGATTTTCCACCTTAGGAATTAAAACTAGACATGTTCTGTTTAAATCTTCATTGATCTGACCTTCATTCAGACAATGTTTTACTAGGTAGCAAACCTTATCCCCAACAGTGTCCCAGTTGTTTTGGTAGAATGTGGCATGGAAACCGTCAAGACCAGGGGCTTTGAGAGGACTCATGTTTAATAAAGCCTCTTTGATCTCAATATTGTCAAAATCTTTATTAAGCCAATTCTAATGATCTTGACTTAGTTTCGGGAAAGGCTTTTGATTACTAAAACTTTGATTAATCAAAGGGTCTCTTGTGAATAGCTTCTTATAGAACTCCTTGACATGATCTTTAAGAATTTCCTGATCATCGCACTATATATCCGAATCAATTTTTAGGGCCATAATATGCTTTCTTCTTCCTTTAGCTATTGCACAAGAGTGGAAGTATTTGGTAATTTTATCCCCATGAGTAATCCACTTGCATCTCGCCCTCTGAGCCCAGAGAAGTTCCTCGTGTCTTAAAATAGCGTCCAGTTCAGTCTTCAGTTCAGATTCAATATTAGACAGTCTGTTAGAGTTATACTTACGAAGAGCCTTATCAATTCCCTTTAATCTAGAAATAATTATCCTCTTCTTTTGATTAATGCTTCCAAACGTTTCTCTGTTCCAAATACCTATGCTTTGTCTGATATAGTTGAGGTTATCCAAAAAATCATTATGCTTAGCCCATTCTTTTTTCAAAAAATTAACAAAATCCGGGTGCTCCATCCAGGCTGCCAGAAATCTAAAAGGTTTAATTCTACTGTCTTTGTGATGTTGATCAGTTTGTAGCATAATAAGACAGTGATCAGAACCAATACGGTCAAGATGATACACCCTCGTATATGGGAAAACTTCGAGCCATTTCATATTCATCAAACAACGATCAAGTCTTTGCCAAAGGTTTCCTCTACGCCAAGTAAATTCATCTCCTTGGTAATTAACATCTATCAGTTCATTGTTGAAAATAAAATATTGAAAGAGCTTGATCCCAACTCTATAACGGTTGTTACCACCAAGTCGTTCTTCAGGTTTCAGAATACAGTTAAAGTCCCCTCCTAGGATCCAAGGAGCATTATTATCCGGTTTAACCTTCAATAGTAATTCCCAAAGCTCTTTTCTAATACTTTGGTTAGGGCTAGCATACACAGTTGTCAAGTATTCCCAATAATTACTATTTCTGCATCTGAAATGAGCATGGATATATTGGTTAGAAACATTTAAAATCTTAACCTCCACCGAGTTATCCCATAAAACCCAAATGCCACCATTGTGCCCTTGCGCTTCAACTCTGAAAGAATTGTTGTAACCCATACTATTGATGATTCTATCTGCTCTTCTCCCATTAATATGGGTTTCCATCAGAGTAATGATCTTAGGCTTATAGTTATTGACACAATCTCTGAAATGTCTTCTAAAGGAGGGCTTGATGACCCCTTGGGTATTCCAAAACATAATCTTCATCATCTTTAAGCGAGAGAGGTAATATTATCTGTCTGTTCCTTACTCTTCTGTTATATTTCTTGAATTTGGCTTTGATTAGGCTGTTCCACAAGTTGGGTCAGATTAGTGTTAGGACTTTTATTATCAGGTGGGGCTAAATTCTCTAAGTTCATGTTATTTTCTTGGATCCAATCGGATAGAAGTGGAGCATTGGGAGTGATAGGGTCTTTAGATTTTCTAATTTTCAGACCTTTGTTTTTTATACGTGAAATATGACTAGGCTTCTTATTGAAATTCCATCTAGAGGTTTGACTGCTTTTGTAGTCCTTTTCTTGAATCGAAATAGCTGTGTGGTTTCCAGTTCCCAAACTTGATCTGTATTCCTTGATGTGAGCATTCTCCTTAGCAGTAATTTGTATTCCTCCATTGTCCTGTTTCCTGGTAGGGTCTTGACCTATTTCCATTTCAACTTCTATAATAAGGACCTCAGTTAAATTGTTCTGGTCTTTCCCAACATTAGTGGAGTTATCTCTCTTTAGAATCTGTTATGTACTTTCTTCTCCCTGTGATGCATTGGCTATGTTGTCCATCCTTCTTCTATCCTTCGAGCTATTTCCTGTCTGGTTTATAGTTTTTTTTTTTGAAATGGTGCCAGCTTTATGCATCTCCCCTTCCCTGTTCATCTATTGGTACTCTTTAGTACTGTGTATGGGTTCTTCCTCTAACATTTCTTCTTGAATAGGTGTAAATCTGGATCCCTGATTTGCTGCTATTTCCACTTCTTTATTTTTACTCTGAGTTCTTTGAAATTTGTTGTTTCTGCCTCTTGGTTGAACAACCATCCAAGGGCCAAAAACATTTTTTTGTTGTTATCTTTTGTTGAGAATGATTCTCTGTTCTGGTCAGTATTAGTAGTTTCCATCTGATTTTTCTGCTGATTGATTTTGCAATTTTCTTTAGCATGACCATAAGTACCACAGTTAAAACATATCTGTTGCAATCCTTCATATTAAATCTGATGGATAAAATCACCGATCCCCACGCATGGAATAAGCGGTTTATTAAGATCAATAACCACTGCAACTCTGGCAAATTTTCCTCTTTCTCCAGCTTTGGTATTATAATCTATTTTGATGACTCTTCCAATGGTGTTAGCAATTATTCTAATCAACATTGTATTATAATACCTGTAGGGTAGTCCAGTGAGGCGCAACCATGCAATGACTTGTGAAGGATGCTTTTCGGATGTGGAAAAGTTTCTTGACCATGGTTGAACGGTTAGGTAGCTTCCATAGATCATCCACGGACCCTCAGTAAAAAATCTCGTATAATCTTCAAGATATTCAAATTTCACTAAAAAGTAATCATTCTCAAGATAGATCAAGTTGAAATTTCCTATCGGATTCCATAACGCATATATTTTGTTAATCAGCGCCTTATACCCAATCTTCTTTCCCAATAGTTTCGTAATAACAACTTGCTTCATGTTTTGATCTATCAGGTCATGGATTCTTTTAGAAAAGCTTATCCTTGGAAATTCTCCGGAATTGTCCATTATGATATCTCCATCTTGAAATACTATTTCTTCTTGAGGCATCTTGACGGGAGGGTTTTTGCTGTAGTTTGAACCGCTGGCCACCATAGCAACATAAGAAATTCTTTCTGGATCTTTTGGATAATTTTTGTTTGTTTCGTTTGCTTCTTGAGATCCTTCTTCTGTTTGCATATTATATTCACAAATATATTAAAATATATTTGTGAATATAATACAATTATGTCTTTTAATTTGTCACATAATATATTAAAAGTAATTTTTAAAATCATTGTTTAAAAAGAGATTGTCTAACAAAAGTTCATACTTAGTGACAGATCAAATCATTTAGAGATGAGGATGTACACGTCCACTATGATATTTGAATTTTTCGGTTAATTATTTATTTTGTTAATTGTATTTATTCTAAAGTTTTATTTGCGTCTGTCCTACTTAAAAATTTCATGTTATTAACATGTGTGTATTCAATGGCGGAGCCACAACTTGGTAAGGGCGGGTATGTGCCCACCCTAAAATAAAAAAAATTTCTTCGATTAATTACTTATTTTATTGATAGTGTTCACCCTGAAAATTTTCTTGTCCACCTTGAAATCTGAATTTTCTTCGATTAGTTAATTTTTTTACTGATGATATCCACCTTAAAATTTTATTTATACCTATCCATTTAAAAAGATTTATTGTTAATATATATGTGTCAACCTTCAATAATATTTTTGAATCTGTTACTATACTTATTTATATTTAAAAATATTTTTAAATCCATCGATGTTTTTATTTTAACGGCTCCCCTCATACTTTTGGGATGAAATTTTAAAATTTCCTTTTTACTATATCCATCATCTTCTCTTGAAGAAAAACAATGAATTTTCTTCTTCCTAATATACAAATATTTGTGGCATACATAAAATATTTAATTAGTTATTTATAGAAAATAGGATAAAAAATTGATTCATTTAAAATGTTGAAAAAATTTATTTGTTGAAATAAAATGTTTGTTATGATATCATTAAAATGATAAATATAAAATACAATGTTTTCAGAAAGATACATAAAATATAATATTTTTTCAGGCTACATACAATCATAATATGTTAAGTCTATCAGAATAATAATTCAAAAGATGTCGAATGATCTTGTCGTCTTCCTAAAATCGTTAAGTAGTTCGCATGTGTTTCTATCAATATTGTAGTAAATATCTTATCCCATAAATAATATCCTCAATATCCTAAATAAGCAAAAAAAAAAATCAACTTATTATCTAACTTTTATTATAGTAAATCAAATGAATAAATTAGATAAAAAATTATTTAAAATATGAGCCAAATCTAGATTAAATTATTTAATTAAATTTAATTTAATTTTTTAAGTTTACAATACAATGTATTATTTTAACTTTATACAGCTTATATTATGTAAGATTTAAATCAATAATAATAGGCATAGATAATTATTTGTAGATTGAGGGTGAAGTTTTAGATTAAAGGAAGTTGTAGTTTTGTAAGCTGCTGTTGATGCTACATTTGCCCAATCCCTGAGGTTCCCTTGAAAAGAAGGTTAATGTCGACAACTAGAATACATCCAAAAGGAAAAATAAGACTTTTGATTAAGGCTGGTTTGTGTCATTGTGTGTGTGTTTTATTGTGTATTTATATAACTTTTAATTTTTTATAAATATGAGATACATAAAAATAATATATGTTCAAAAAAATTTAGTCATTTGACAAGGAACACTAATTTTTACATTGCTCAAATCTAGAACCTTAAATAATAATAAAAAGTTTCTTAAGCACTAAGAACCCTTGGTTCATGTTAAATTAATTTACTTAATTAGATTTTATATTCGTCGTTTATTTATATTATACATACTATGCTTCAAACATAAAATTCATATGAATTAATAAGTAAATATTGGCTCACTGATTACCTAATGGTTTAAATAATTATAAGTTGTATTATAAAAGTTTTAAAAGATTGAGAGTTTATTTAAAAAAATGATTAATATCTTTATATTCTCTTGAACGAAGATTATTTATTATTTTACATCATATCATATTAAGGTTGTCATGAAGTAGGTACAAGTACTATAAATATGGTGTACATCGTATTTGAGTTTGTATTTAATTCATAAGTTAAAAGTTGGGTTAATGTAAAGATATAATTAATTTAATATTGATGTGATTATAATATTTCAAAAATTAGAGCTCAATTTATTATCTAGACTATAATTCAAGAACCTCTCAGGGAATTAACTTTTAAAATTTAGAGCTCAATTTATAATTTAGACTATAATATTCAATGAACCATTGTTAGAAAGTGGCTCTTAAGACTAGAGAGGGTTGAGAAGCGTTGAAGTACTTCCCACTCATTTTCGTTCATTCCATATCCATCAATGGCCGGTCGACGACAACCGAGTAACCCATCCAATGCTTTTTTTTTTCGTGGATTGAGTTTAATTTGCCCATATTTTGTTGGGCATTTCTTCATCTCTAATCGAAGTGACATACGGGCCCATAAAAGATTAGGAATTGACCCCCAAAAAAAAGATTTGTTTATGGAAAGCAAATAATATTTTTTTCTTAAAAGAGTTAATTGTATCACGTCTCCAAACTATAGCCATCACTTTAAATTGGTCCTTACACTTTTGATATTCTAATCTTATCCTCAAACTATGATACTCGTTCTAAACTAATCCTTAACTTTTGAGCATTCTAATTTCATCCCTAAACTATGACCCTCTTACTAAACTGGTTCCAAAACTTTTGAATATTCCAATTTTATCCCCAAATTCATCCAAATATGTAATTAGTTCCAACCATAATTTAACCTATTTTTTCCCAAACATATAATAATATAACATGGCCTTATGATTTTATTAATAAGGGATGCCATTAGTATCTACGTATTGTTTGGGATGAAATTGGAATGTTCAAAGAGTTTGGAGACCAGTTTAGAATAGAAGTCATAGTTTGGAGATGAAATTGAAATGTTAAAAAATTTATGGATTAATTTAGAATGATAGTTATAATTTAGGGATGAAAATGAAAGATTTAAAATTTTTGAAATAAATTTAAAACAAGGGTCATACTTTGAGGACATGTGATGCAATTAACTCTTCTTAAAATAACATGTAAAGTTTAAATTTTGGTGATTGTTGTGAATATAATAAATTCAATTAAAAAGATTTTTTTTATAATAAGTCTCTACCATTTTAGATATGAATTAATATGTTAATAGATTGAACATAGATAGTTATATAAAAAAATAGAATAAAGATCTATAGATAACTTATATATATATATATATATATATATATCTCACAATTGTTATACATTTAAAAAGTTATTCATCGCACGAACTAAGTGGCATATGTGATAAAAGAATTGTTGCTTTTCCTTAAGGACTCAGGTTCGGGCATTGAGAACGCTAGGGGAGTGGGAATTCAATGTCAAAAGGTTGATAATTATCTTTAAAT